ATATATATATATATATATATATATATATATATATATATATATATATATATATATATAAGACCGGGGACTTGAAAAACCGAGTCTTTCGCTTGCCAGGCGACTGCTCTAATCGGTGAGTTATCTGACGCTTCACGCTCATGATACTCTCCTTTCCCTAGATAACGTTCAGAGATACTGTTCGGAAGCGGCATCGAGTCGTTTCTCCCTGATGAAGCGGACTGAAATGTTCGCGAAACGTCGAAATCAAACAAAGAAGAATTTCCGCGGCTCAAATCCGGAAACTAAAATGTTATGTTATGTTATAAGTTGAATTAAAACTTTCTTATATGCTTTCACCAAATTAACTACTTATTTTAAGACAATATTTTTTAGAAATATGAAAATTATTTTTATAGTGAAAATTATTTTTATGGTGATAAATTTCGTTTATAGAAGAAACATATTTATTTGAATTAAAAACATAGATTTACTTTATACAAGAACAAATTTCTTGTTTCAAAACATTTTGCAATTTTTGATTTATTACATAATATTGAAAGAAATATGCTAAATTTTTCTGAGTAAATTTTCTTATATTGAAATATTATTAAGTATTCAGATTCTTTCTAATCTTTCTTCGATCAATATATTTACATATATTTGAGAATATTTTCTTGTTTTGAGTAATCTTTTATAATTAATTTTGTCGGATATTATTGAAAATACCGCAAAACGGTCTGGGACTTTTGTTCATCTCAATCCTCACGAGAGATTATGAAGGTGATCTGGGATACACTGTATAACAGTCACATTATTAAGTAGGAAGTTACAACATTAATGTATGTAGAGTAAAGTCACCAAAAGCGACATACCACTTTATTTTTGGACGTTATGTCTTAATATAAAGCTCAAAATATAAATGTCTTAATATAAAGCTCAAAATATAAATGTAAATATACATACATGTATTTGGAAGTACCTCCTATCAAATAATATCACATTTTTACTGAAATTGTTTCTAGATTTAAAACAAAAAATGTTTTCATAAAAAGCAGGAAAATGGAGTTCAAAGAAAATAGGTGCCAAAAGCGACCTACCTATTGGAATTTATATAACATGTCGCATATATGATAATATATAATAATAAATAGTTCATTAATGCGTTTAATGGTTGAATAATGTACATTTATTCAAAATATAATATTACAAAAGGGAAATATAATGAAATAAATACATATCTTTTTCCATTTTTCTCATTTCTTACATATTTTACATATGTTATATTTTTAAACTAAACAAAATTAAACTTTAAAATAAACAAATGTCACGTCACAACGGGAGGTTATTAATCAAGTTATGTTAGTCAGAGTATCGCACTTATCACATACTGCAGGTATGTCATTTTAAAATATATTCTCATAAATTTTTTTAAGTTATACAGTAAAAAAGTGATGAAAGTAAAAATATTCAAAAAATATTTTTACAAAAGCCAAATATATGTAGAAGAATTTAATATTGAAAAAAAGGATAATTATCGCTATTTAGTCTACGTAATTCGTCAATAAAAATCATAGAAGTATTTTTTAGGAGGTCGCTTTTAGCTACTTTCCTCTATGTTATTGTTATTATTAGTAATATTATTATTATTTGGTGTTTACTGAGTGTGAAAAATAGGTCTTTTATTTTGCATAAACGAGATTTAAAATGGAAGATTATTTTTTATCTAAATTATTGTATTTTTGATGATACGATTTAGAGTACAGTTGTCAAATGTATGGAATCTGTCGTTAAATTCGAATTACGTTAATTGATAATGTAATTGAAATTTAGGATTATATAATATGATTTATGCGCTTATGTAATTAATTATCTGCGCTAACGCAGCTATATTAATTGATATAATATTGCACTGTAACTAAAATCAAATATAATTCGAATTATTGTAAACAGATTAGGATTCAGAGGACACATACAGTTTTAATAAATTTTATGACCGCAGCTGGTTACACTCAATATTAATATGAGATTGCATGCAAAGTGTTTTAAAAGAATGCTATCTTCATAAGCTTATCTTATTACAACTATGTTATCAGCGGAAGATAGTAATAGTACGCTATATAAAAGAATGCAAAACATTCTTTATATTCTATATTATCGATGAAACAACATTATTAAATATCATCGACTTTGAATAAAATTTAAAAACTTTATTTCTTTATTTCGCAACCTGGGAGGTTCTCTCTGGGCAGAATATCGTAATAGAAATACCGATAAAAGGTAATAATGATTCTTAATATTACCGATAGTTTCAATGCAGTTTTAATTTGAATAATAAATATTATATAAATTTAATAACGCGTACACACGCACATACAGTATAATTGAGTATAAATAGAGATTACCCAAGTATTACCGGTTACACAAATCTTCATGAAGCTATCAATTTAACACCATCTCGTCAGTATCACAAAAGCAACAAGACTTACTCGGTCGATATACGAGGAAAAGATTCTTACCTTGGTTAGGTAGTTTTCTATTATTGTTTCAGCTCACTTTCAAATGGATGCCTTCTGTAGTATAAAAGTTTTCGATTAACAAAGTGAACAAAATGATATTTCTAAAACATGAATAACCGCGAATATCTCAGGAGTCAATAACTTTGTCAAATACACCTCTATTTTTTATATTAAAATGTGAAATCATAAATTTATAAGAGAAGAAATTTAGCGAAAAATATTTTTTGCTCGAGACACTAACGACATCCATATACGATGATCCGTGTCGTAGCGCTGCTGTTAATCGGTACTTGATTCTCAGCATACGCGTTGAATAAACAAAATCAAATAAATTAATTAATTAATCAATGGGGAGAGAAGTTAAAAAATCAAGAGCGACTTGCGGGATAGAATATGTGGTTTCATATTTTTTTGTTTTTATATTCTCATGCATCACCAGTTCTTTAAAGCATTATGCCCATCTTTACCAACATAGATTAAATTTTAACCTGAATTTAAACTCTAATCAGGTAGAGATTTAAGTTCAAGTCAAGTCGTTTTTTCTCACGTGTAGAATGGATGGGATAAAGCGTAATCAAAGAGGAACTAAGGGATCAATCATGAGTTTCTCTTTTTTATGTGAATTCATGAAAAGTGAAAAAACTATCTAATATTTTCAAGTCAGAAAATCGTCACATTTGATTATGAATTTAAGGTTAAGATTCACGATCCCCAGGCCTCACTTCCTATATTTTAATTCCCATCTCTGGCTCACAATATGAGACACCTTTCGGCACGGCGCACCTTTCGGCGCGTTTTGTCGCGCAGCCGATGAAACGAGTCGTCGCGGAGCCAGCGTGACAAGGTTGGTGTATAGCGCGGCTGGCACCTTCAAGACGCGCAGTCGCGCGCCGGTTCTGTCGGGTGGGAGGTGATCAGCTGCGAACACACGAGGAACGAAGATGTTCGTCCTGCAAAGGTCTATATTGTGAGTACAAGAGAAAATTTTTGCCTTTCTCGCCGTCCGGCTTGCTTTTGGAGAAGTGTGCGCGCAATCCCTTTGTTGAGCCCTTATGCTCAACACGGAGTAATCTCCTCGAAGATGACGAGTGAATATATACACACGTGCACAGCAAACAGACAGACAGACAGATAGACATTGGGACGAACCTTCGTCGGTAGCTCGACAGAGGAAGGGCTGTGTCGTCGCGTACAGTATAACCTGACTTGTGTCTGCAATGCGGTGCTAGAAATAGGAGCGGCCAGCACGGCGATCGATACTGAAGCCAGGTTATTGGTTAGCTGTGCCGCGAGTCGTTGCCGAGCCGGAAACTGTGACGCTTTCTTGTCCAGGTGTTCTCTGGGCCGCTATGCTCGTGCTCTGCATGACTTGGCCTCACCTGGCCTTCACCAATTCGCCCGTGACCTTGATCGCTGTTGTGGCTGAAAGATTTTTATAATATATTTTATAATATATTTTTTGTTTGCTGCTTTTATAATATATTTTTTGTTTGTTCACGATGAAATTTCGCTTAAAATCGACTTTCGATAGTTAGTCTTTAAATTCTTTTTGAATAACGATGACCTATCGTTGTATCGAATTCATACCGAGAATTGGTATTCTGAGTTAACTCATTCAGAGGTATCGGTGTAACTGATTAGAGTCCATTGTTGGAATCTTTAGGAAAGTTCGTGAGTAGATATCGACGACTTCGAAATGCGTACCTTTAAATGTCAAAATTCGACAATCAAACTATAGTTTCTAATATTTCTGCATGCGAAGTACACTTTGTTTCAGTATGATTTTGACAATTTCTTTGCGACGCAGTTTGAAATACAGCCGATGATTCAATGAAAGAACTTGTTTTCTTTATTAAATCACAGAAATTCAGTTTTTTCAGTGGACCATTGGCTATTTTCAAACTGCGTCAATGTAAAAGTCTAAATCGTTTTGAAATCGAGTATATAAACATATCCAACTATATAGACTTTTATAATTATCACAACGTGAGACAATCGATGATGGAGAGCTCTGCAATTTTTTAAATTTTTTTATGAGGCAAATATATATAATATTGAATTAATCGTTAAATTTATATTACATTACAATTCAATTTTTTGTTATATTGATGCAGCAACAAATTTACTGAAAATTATACTCAAATTTTCATAATACATTTTACATGACATATTATCCTAAGCAAATATTAATAAGTTTCTTTAATTTTCTTTGTATTTCCATTTTGTCTTTATATATGATAAATATGTAAGACGTAATCTTTACAAATCTACTAGTAAAGTTGCTGCTAAATTTAAATATAGTTGTTTATCTGGATATTTTCTTTTAAAATAAAAAGCGATGCATGAGGTAATCCCCAAACTTTCCACTTCCTTCCCGATCGTCTGATTTTCTGATTAATGCATCTGACATTTCGACTATTATCAGAGATTGGAATCTGCATTCTCTCATTTTCTCCGCAAGGAATTATTATACAAGTTTCAATGTCTCATATTAATCGTCTCGTTAGTTTTATCGGAATCGCGATGGAAGTAATAAATTATAGAGAGCCTCGTGATTGAAAGTCAAGGTGAACGATAACTGGCGTTCCGGGAACATCGGTGTCATATAGCGACACGTGCTTTATATAGTAGGTGAAAAAAAATCCTTTCCGAAACTAGGTGACAAATGATATATGTGAGGTCACTCGACGATCCCCACCCAAATGTTTTACCTTGTGTAAATTCAGCAGTAGAATTCTAGAAGTTGATCTATAGCGAGACAAATTTATCTCTTTAGAAATTTTCGACCTGAATAGTAATAATAAACATAAATAATAAACATAAATAAACACGACGAGAAGTTCGTTTCCCGAAAAGAAGTTTCAGTAGGAACAACAAACATCGGTTGTAAACACAAATTTTAAATAATTTTTGTATAATAACATAAATATATATAACTTTCTAAATAGAACTTAATAATTATTAATACATTAGAAAATCGATGATGGAAACTTCACTTTTATTTATGAATCAATTATATTATGTTATATAAATTCTCTCTCTCTTCTCATATCAATTATATTTATGAAACCAATATTAAATTTACGTTATGTAATATTGTAATTTTTTGTTATACGCACAAATTTACTAAAAAGTTACGCTGAAATTTTTATATTTTACATCATGTAATGTTTTGTGTAAATTTTGATTATTTATTTCATATTTTTCTATTTCATCATTCTATATGATAAATATGAATTTGATTATAAAAAGGTACACTTTTTTTGCAAATATATAACATATGCAAATATATACTAAATATTATACATGTACCCGTTTGCAAAATAGTTTAAACGAATTTTTTCGACGAATTTCGAGACGTATTCGACGAATTTCCGACGTCCAATAAGAAAATTTATCTTATAAAAATTATCAAAAACAAATTCTTCCATTAGATATTGCGTGCATTCCGAAGTACATCAAATAAACGTGTTCAGACTGTTATGTAAACGAATGTACATTATAATGCCGAGCGATTTTCGTACAAAGAGCCGTCTGTTTTTGCTGTCGTATCGCTTTCGTTATGCTGAATGTGTCGGCGTAACGATTCGCTCTTATCCCGTTGTTATCGTGAACACAATTACGTATAATATATCACTGAAACTATCTTGCACATGGCTTGAAACAATGATAAATAGAAACAATACTGGCATAATTATACCGTGTCTTGTTCACCTAACCGTTTTGTTTCTAATAGATGCGCTTGGTTACCTAACGACGCGATATATCGCACACATCATTCGATCCAATTTATTGCATCCGACGGGTGTTCTATCCGTGAGTCATGAAATGTATAAATGTAATCAATTATTCGCGCAGATTGATTGCGCGTCGATTTTTAATAATTTGACGTTTATGTGACTTGTACAAGTATTATTTCGTTCCGTAAGTGACGCAATAACGCAAATTGTTTTTGTCATGTTTTTTTTCCGAATAAATTTTTTCAGCACTAAAACCTATCATGTATACAAATCAACGTAATACGTGCTATATTAAAGTTATCAGCATTTTCTAATCGCAGACGTTTATTTTTTAACACAAATCAAGAAGCTATCATGGTGACTACTGCTTTAACGTATACCGTTCCCGCTTTTTTAAACAATCAATAAATATTAAATTAGTATTGAACAGAAAATTCTAAGAATCTAGTTGCATTTACATGTTACGGCTGTAGGTTGGTCCATGTATTTTCTTTGACAATAATTGATATTGATATACAAAAGATTGATCAGGAAATTTTTTTGTTTTTCAAAAGTTAAGTACATAAGTCAATTTTCATTTTTATTCTCCAACGAATTAATTGTACTAATGATAGTTACTACATATCACAAGAGAAAACTTATAAGAGAAAACTTATAAACTTTTGCGTTTGAATTTTAGAAAACGAGAAATCTTTTGACCGGTTTGTTATGTATTAAGAGGTTCTTTTTACTTTTAAACGTTTCAAAGAAATAGGATTTAGGACTTTTTTAGAAAAAGTATGCAACGTATCGATTTATTATTATATAAATAAGAAGAAATTTAAAAAAATAATGATTATTTGGAAATGTTGTACTTAAACCACATTTTTTTGAAAACTATATTTTCAAAATGACATCAATTGACGTGCAAGATTCCTCGAAGAGTAGTGAACCTTTACTTTAAACTGCTTTAAATTGCTCGTATCTCTAATATATGTATATCAAAGTCATATCTTAAATTTTATAAAAAATTGAGAATTAACAGAATGGCATCGATGCAAAGTAGAAATTGCGTTTTTCTCACCAAAATAAGCAACTTCTCACATAATGAAAAAAAATATTAAATTTTTTAGTTTCCTAGAATTTGAGATGTATACTCTCAATATACATATTGAATACATGAATTATGTTGAAAATATGTAGAAAGTGTGTGTATTTGAAGCCGATTCAATAATCTTCGAAAAATGTTGCATGTCGATTTTAAAAGCATGGTTTCGAGAAAAATGCACTAAGAATTTTAAGTACAATATTTTTAAACAATATTATTTCTTGATATCTCTTTGTACTTGTATAATAAATGTGCCAAACTGCAAATCGATACGTTGCAGAGTTTAAAAAAAGAAATTCTTAATATAACTTATTTTTTCGGGCGTCTAAAGATTCCTTAATTTTCTACGTGTATTTGTATAGGATGTAAAAAGGAGTCGCAGTTGCTCGTTATAACCGTAACTTATTTTTTATTTTACGAAGAACTATAAATCTTTTTACCCCTGAATCTCCTCACGCCGCTATAAGAAACTAAAACTAAACTCTATCTCAACAAATTGTTTCAAGATAATGATACCATCTAATATCTTTGAATGATCTTCGATATCCGGTCTCTTTCTTTTTTCCCCTATATAATAATTGTAAAAAATTCAAAATAATCCAAACGTATACACTGCCGACCGAAAATTTGGCATCATCTATTAATTTTTCATAAAAGCGAATCTTTTGACACATTTCGTTATGATTTTGTTTAAATTATGAACTGTAATTAAAAAAATAAACTAGTATCAAAACTGCCTTAAAGTTTCTTTTACAAAATTCCTCAATTGCTTAATTTACGTAATGATTTTAAACTTTTGGCCGTTAGTATAGTTCCAAACGTTTTTGTTCATGTACACTCGTAGATAGAAAAGTAGTCCATAACTTTTAGGATGAGTTTATAAACTCCGCTGTTTTGTCCAATAAAAGAATTCTCCCACTGAAAAACAAATCCTCCTATTGGACAAAATGGATGAGTTCACAAACTCATCCTAAAAATTACGAAAAATCTTTCTATCCACGAATGTATGTACCTATATTAGTTAAAATCATTGAGGTTTTTTTAGTTATACCAGCATTCTCCATTTGGTTTTCATCAGTCTATAATTTGCTCAAGATAGATCTTAACTTTCTTTGACTCACATATCGGTCTTTTAAATCGATAAGAGACAAAACCGGTGTTTTCTGAAGACCATAAACGTTATCGTGCGCGAGCGACTTCAAATATAAAAAATGAAAATAAACCACATTTATAGCAAAAACAAACACATTTTATTCCATATCAATTACTAAAAAATCGACCTGACAAACTAGAACATTAATTTTTGTGTATTTACACGAAGGAATTCACGCAAATCAAGAAAAGTTAAGTAAAACCTTTATTTAACCTTCCAAACATGACATAAATTACGATAAAAAGCATCTCCGCTATCGTTACAGCCGATCGATCGAAGTTATAGAAAAGTTGTAATATACGTAGGCATAAGTTGATTTTGACACAAACTGTCGCGGAAAGTTCGATTACGTCATGGCGGAGATCACGTTGTATTATGTCACCTACGTCCTGTCAGATATTTATAGAATCCATTAAGTTGACGAAGTTACATAATTACAGTATTGATAGTTACATAGTTCAGTTAATTTACTTTACAATCAATAATTATTTCATCAACAACGATCGCGCAAAATCACACACTCGAGCGAACGTGTTACAAAGCGTGAGTTTAGCTTAGTTTGATGGCAATGAGCAAACTATAATAACGAAGGCCATTTCGCGTGGGAGGGCTATGCGAGCCCCGCGATGAATCGTTTAACAGGTCGGAACTGCTACTCGATTATAATGACATAATATAGGACGCGGGTCGGAAACGTCCCCAACAACCTGCGCTTATTCTAGTCCGCGCATAATTATGTGTACGAAAAAGATAGTAGAAGAAAAATCGTTTCATTTGAACAGGGAAGAAGAGAGACTGGGGGCATCCGATTATTACAGACGTGCTATTTTAAGTTAAATCAGCACGTGTTTCGTGAATGCTTAGATTCAGTAGACAACATTGACACTAAATGTGGTGCGCTAATACGGACCAATGTGTCCGACCACTTTGCTGAAGTTACGGAGTTAAAAGAAATACATATATCGACTACCTCGGTAAATGTCGCACGAACGTTTCTTTAAAAGCTGGCTTTATGCCATGAAAATAATAATAGCATAACCCGCTTCGATTCACGCGTCGAGGAACCAACGAGTGTCAAATGATTTTGCAGACGTAAGCGTCCCGTTGGACACATTTTGCGACATTTTAAAACGTAAATATGCACGAACTAAGTTTCTCATTTATATAATTAATTACTGAAAAATTCCCGAAATAAGGAAACCCCTTTTTTTAAAGTGCTAGGTCTTAAATTTTATTTAATATTTGTTGCTTTTTACCTCAAAGCATTGGCTCTTATTTATTGATTGTATATCTGAGAGGATACTTTATTACAGATTCATTTTTCCTTCTTATTTTTTTTTTTAATTAATTAATTTTTCTTTTCATAATAGATTGATCAACTCGATTCAAAAGTCTTTTAAGTATGTCTTTCTGAGAAATATGTTTTCTATGAATGAGAACTAGTGTGCAAAGTCACAATCCGCTCTACTTGCAGCTTCATTGATTGTTATCGATTTTTATCTATCGTAACTTTATACGTTTGACTATATCCGATAAACCGTAGTTTCATAACAGGTTTCAGCTTTAGTCTGATTAGTTCGTATCTAATCGTCGTCCCCGTCTGTCTAATCATATATTCCGCACTTATCGATTTTGCTATCAATTTCACTATTAACGTCGAAGAGATTATATCGTTTCATGGGGGATATACTGGATTATCAATACAACAGCTCATTCTTATTGAAGATATATGACGATAATGTGGTTTGTATTTTGTTTTTATCTACCTAAATAGACTGTCATAATTATCACATGAAACAATCGATGATGATAACAATTTTTGTAAATACATTTATGATAAAAATATATTGTATTAATTATTTATTGAATTAATTATTAAGTTTATCTCATACAATAACGTATTTTTTATTATTTAGTTTATTTTTATTATATTGATGCAGCGATAAATTTATTAAAAATTACACACTGAGATATTTATATTGCATTCCATGATATATTATTTTAAACAAATTTTGATCAATTTTTTCATATTTCTATGTAGTCACTCCATGTGATAAATATGAGCGCCATATGAACCATTAAAAAGAAACGGAACCTTTACAAATTGACTAATAGCTGCCAAATTTACGTACTGCTGTCTATTTGGATAAAAAAAACTTAGACAAATTTTTGTAATTATCACGATATGAAACAATTAATATTGTAAAAACCTTGTAATCTTTTTAATTACATTTTGACAAAAATATATTAAATTAATCATGAAGTTTACATTTTATAATAATATAAATTTTTTAAATTGATACAGCGACAAATTTATTGAAAATTATACTCAGATTATATCATATTATATTTTAAATTATTTATATTGTTCTGAGCAAATTTTTATCATTCCTTTTTTTTCCTATTATTTTGTTATTTTATATGATAAATATGGATATATATAAGAACACAACTTTTATAAATCGACTGGTAAAGTTGTCAAATTTATGTACTCTGTTTATTTGAGTAAAAAACAAAATGTTTGTTTTTATTCATTGAATGAAATAATTTTAGCAATCGTAAAATTATTTCCTTCAAAGTTAATAATAATGTAATAATAGTTAATAATATTATAATGTAGTATTTAGTAAGCTTTATTATAAAATACTATAATATTTATAATATAAATATTATAGTATTTTATAATATTATTTTATTATTTTATAATATTATAATATTTATTGTACTAGTATAATAATAATAGTACAATACCAGGATATGTCTGTACATGCGTCAACCACTATGTCATCACCAAAGTTATTTTTCCTTCTAGCATTTTAAGTATTCATATATTCTGCTGATATTTAGTAAATAATTGTGTAATATGGAGTATATTCTTTTAGCAATAAAGATGCGTATATGGAACGTGAATACGCGATAAGAGCTAGTTATTTGCCGTGTAGCTGATAAGTCTAGCTGATAAGTTGACATCTCGTGCTATCCTTCTGGTTTCTGCCAAGTAACATTTTATTTATTGAAAGATCCTCGTTTATTGTACTCATCTGAAGAATGCTCCAAAATGATGGATAGCGATACATATCTCGTAAATGATTTTGATGAGTTCTCACGCGTATAAACCTGTTTCCGTCGTTAATTTTAATTAAATGACTTGCTGGCTGTCAGCCGACAATAATTAAACATAATGAATAGTTAGCAACATTTTTAACTTGCAGCAGTGAATATCAGCCATCATATTTTTTCTTTTTTTTTTGCATAACGGCAAAATGTAGAAGCTAAATATTCTTTGTTTTTCTTATAAATACCGAATACAATTCGCATAGTCGATGCCGTGAATACCATAGAAACCTGTTATATGTGTTTGTAGATCAACTGCCAGCAGAAATTGCGGTGGATCATGGACACGAGTGTTGCTGCCTACACACGTCACCGTGAAGGACGCCCAACAAAAAGAGATTCACGAGGTTTCGGGAGATGTGATACCTATAAATATGGTGAAGGGTATCGGACATCTTAGAGATCCCCGGCTCAACAAGGTATCGTTATCGTTTTTTTACGTTTCTTCGTGAAAATGTTCCTTCAATACAAAGGTGTACGATTATAAGTAAGTATTCTGTATATCATAATAACAGGGCTTAGCATTTACTCTAAAAGAGAGGATAGCATTGGGAATACATGGCCTGCAACCTCCGAGATTTAAAACACAGGAAGAACAGCTGGCACTATGCAAAGCTTCAGTTATGAAATATACAGAAGATTTAAACCGATATCTATATCTGGTGGAGCTTCAGGTAAATAACACATGGAAAAATACCTAAAAAATTTTTTTATGTGAACATATGCAATTGCAAATGAATATATACACAATCGTATAAAATTTAATAAAATCATATCTAATTATTTCTAGTTTTATATATGGATCACATAAAAAGTTATAAGACGTTATAAAGCATGATTTGATTATATATTAATTCAAACAAAATTAGATATAATTATTAGGGATGTGCTGGATACTGAATTTGCCGGATACCGGATATTCGATAATAACGTGATACCGGATATCTGATACTAATTTCTAAAGAAATTTCTATATTAATATTTAAATAAGTAATATATTACATAACGTTTGCCTATATTTGCCATATAATTTAAGGGGATTAGAACGGTTTTATGTTCCGAAAATCGAGTGAAATTTGAATAACGATTGCCGACAAACAAGTAAACGTACACAAGGTTTGTTTTTTTTTTTAGTTTTTATACATACTTTTAGAAATAAGCAGTAGAAATTCAAAAAATATTAATAATTGAGTGAGATATTATTAAATTAAAAAAAAACGTTTTTGCGGTTTTGCCACGATTCCGGGAAAACGAGTTGAAATTTTGTAGTGCGCCAAACGTCATTTTGTAGATGAGATTTCCCTCTAAAGATTGAACCGAAATGGGACTGAAAATCTAAAAAATTAGACAAAAAACTAAAAATGTTTAAAAATTCAAGTTATTTATTATTAAAACTGTATTAAAAAATTAATTTTCATAGGCAAACTTTGGTTCAATCTATGCAGTACGTCTTTATCTTTAATTAAAAAAAAAATGAAGTCGATATCTTTGAGTAATCGTCTTTGAGTAATCGTGGCAAAACAAACGAAAAATGTTATTTTGAAAAATAAACGACCGACTACTTCTACTACCGACCGACCGACTGTTCTCGTCTCCTTTGTCGTTACTCCTATATTTGTTAGTAGTGATCTCCACACACCTATAGCCTTTGTTTTCGATATTATTATTTCTAAGTGTTAGAAACGTTATTACTGTTTATCAGTTTGTTTTAAATAAACAATTTATACATTTCTTACACTATATGATCACGTGCGCTCAGTGCGGGCCATTCAGTATGCGTTGTTTCACAATGATCCAGAGCCCTTGGATTTCAACCGATTTTCGACGCTTTTTTTTTTAATGATCATCTTGAGATTTACAAGAGATCTGTCGAGGCCGATTTTTAAAATAATTTTTTAGAAATTATTTATAGATATAAACACAAAGACTTTTTTTAAGTAAACTGAGACTACTGAGCAATTTATTTAAATGGAGTGATAAATGGTTCTCGAGTATATATACATATGTGTATATACATATATATATGTATAACATATATAGAGTGTCCCATTTTAAAAAACGCATTCTGATAATTCTTCAGCCAAGCATATTCAGCAAAAATTTTAAACGAAAGTTATCAAGTTTAGAGGGAGACATGTGAGGGTAACCTTAATCTTGACCTTTGAGATCAATTTGAAGATTATTCGAAGGTTAATTTTGCTTTTTAAATAGAAATATTTAGTTTATATTACGGCTATTATATCTAGTTTATTATAGTAAAGTTTTATTCCATGTAAAGAAGCTAACAACTTTTGTTTGAAAAAATTTTTTATACGATCTTTATTTTCTAAGATATTTACGGAAATATCTACAAAATTATTGGTTTCAATAATTTTTTACTCAAATTCTATCAACTTTACAGAAAAATAGCAAGAGACAAAAATTGTTTATTTTCTTTTCATAGAGCTCTGATATATATATATATATATATATATATATATATATATATATATATATGTACATACACATATGTATATATAACATATGTATATATACTCGAGAATCATTTATCACTCCATTTAAATAAATTGCTCAGTAGTCTCAGTTTACTTTCAAGAAAAAGTCTTTGTGTTTATAGGTATAAATAATTTCTAAAAGATTATTTTAACCCTTTGGGGACGAGTGTCGGCATATAGCCGCCCAAGCCGTTTTACCGTTCCGGACGCGTGTCGGCATATAGCCGCCCAAATTAGTTCGTAGCTGCAAGGCTTGCGACGTCTGTCGTTCTGAGCGATAAGATACGCATAGGTATAGTAAAAGAGTCACGTTTTCATTCAAAGACATTAGGGGCCATTAGCGATGAAGTCTTATCTTCCTTATAGCCCGTCGAGCGGCTCCGTCCCCAAAGGGTTAAAAATCGGTCTCGACAGATCTCTTGCAAATTTCAAGACGATCATTTAAAAAAAAAGCGTCAAAATCGGTTGAAATCTAAGGGCTCTGGATCATGAAACAAACGCATGCCGAATGGCCCCACTGTGCGCCGAGCGCGCGCTGCCTCAAATTTTTCGCTCTCCTGAACTCAATTTTGCGAATATCGAGGTTCTTCTTGCACCAAAATATTCTTAAATATTGTACTAAATCCAAAAATCGCTTTTTTGGAGATTTCAAACCGTTCAGTCTCCTTATTACATACTTGGTCATTAAAATCGATCATAAGATGTTTTTGCAGAATATTTACACCACGTAGTTTACAACGAGACTGTTCCAATTGCATACTACCAACCGGTGCTCTGCTTTATCTAGTTTAGTAATTACTAAACCCAATTAGATCTAACCAATCATTACATTTTGTGTCCAATCGGGCTGTGTGCAACTGGACTTCACCCTTTACAACAGAGTTTTTGTTTCTCTTCTTATGGCTCTTGCAGACCAGCGCGATGTGCAACGCAGCACGTAATGTGACGATTGATATCCAATTAGAGTACTGGTGTTCCGGTAAAACTGTACGCTCATTGGATATCGCGCATCACATATCGTACATCATATTGTGCTGGTCTGAGAGAGTGAGTTACTCTGGCGGCACTGCCAAGCATTGTTGAAAATAAATCTTCAGAAAGATGGTATATTACAGAGTTGACTTAATAAAAGATAATAGAGATAGTTTGTTCTTAGAGAACTTTGGATTTCGAATCCTGCATTAGTGGCACAAACTTTCAAACTAATACTAATAAATTAATATCCAGCTATCCGGCTGGATTGTAAAAAAATGACCGAATAGGCCGAATACCAGATAGTTGCTGGATATCCGGCACATCTCTAATAATTATATATGTTAACAATGTATTATTATATCTGTCTGCACGCAGTCATATTGGCATATATTACCAAATATGATTTTATATAATCATTAGTATCCAAATTCGATCTTATAAGAGAATATATAGTCATAGATAATACAATGAATAAATTAAATAAGTTTAAGAACAACAAAACTTAATAATTTTTATATTCTCGATTCAGATATATTTATATCTTGAATGATATGGTCTATGTTTGATTAAATAAAATCATATTACACTATTTTACAAATTTGGCAATATAAGACGATTTATATATATATATATGATTTTATATTATCATATATAATAATTTTTTCTCGGGTTTACTACATTCAAACAAATGTTTCAAGTATTTCATAAGTTTATATATCCTCAAATCTAAACGGAAAAAGAAGATATAGTGCAGATATAACCAGAAATATTTAGTTGTGAGCAGCATAGTTACATCACTTTAGTTATTTTTATACGATTGTAATATATATATTTGATATGACTCAGTTGTTTTGGTATATTATAATAATTACATCAGTGTAGTTTGACGTGATATGGTTGTAACAATCAAAAATTGATTGTGATGATATTTACCATGGATACACTGAAATATACTTGTAAAAACAACCAGATATTATCAGATATTATCACTGCTACAATACCAGTAACTCAGTAATTGTTCTGTGGTTGCAGTAACTACATAATTAGTTATTCCGTATTTTACTTTTAAGATAGTTACTTTTAAGATAGTTAAGATTGGTTTACAAACCAATTTTTGTTATAAGTTTCTCAAATTTTAACAATACATTGATAAAAACACGATTGATACGTATGTGCAATTAGAAAAAGATTTATCGAAACTGAGATAATTGAAGTCAAAGAGTTAGCACTATTTATATATGTATCACATACATGAAAACGACTATCGATAGTATATTTTCAGTTCTAGTAACCAAATTACTTTTACGGTTATAACGAAAAATAAGAAGGCAATAAAAAAGATTTGTGAAAATGTTATAAAAAATTACAAGATCGTTGATCTAGTTTTCAAAAAATTAAAATATAATATTTGTAAAATAATAGATATATAAAATATATAATTTATGAAAATGTTTGAAGTATGTTACAACTAACTTGTAACAATTTTGTAATACTTTATTCTACTATATTCTATTCTATTCTATTTTGGTGTTTCTTAGTTAAATATCTTCTTAAAGATAGAATGATCAAATAATATTGAAGATCTATAATCAATATGTAAAAAATACGAAAAATAGAGTAAAGTATGAAGAAACTAACGTCGCAATCATTTTTCTAGTAGCATGCATTAATGTGCGTCTATTGATACGTATGAAATGTTTACAAACATATGTCTGACACAGACAGTCCCAGTCAAAAGCGTTAATATGTCAAAGTGTGAAAAACGATAATTTTTTTGTGTGTATGCTATATTGTAACCGTGCGCGCTTGAAATGATTCTTAACTTTCGCGGAACGGTTTCTAGGAGAGGAATGAGAGGCTATTTTTTCGCCTACTGAGTGAAAACATCGAACAGATGATGCCGATTGTTTATACACCTACTGTTGGGCTCGCCTGTCAAAAATTTGGCGTAATTTACCGTAGACCACGTGGGCTTTTCATCACTATATATGACAAGGGCCACATTTACGAGGTTTTGAATAATTGGTTAGTATTAGAAGCGAAAGACACAGCATTAGTTACATATATGTCGTATTTATATACAGGGTGAGGAAAAAGTATGGAAATCCTGAAAAATCTAAAAAAATATAAGTTTTACAGAAAAATGTTTCAAATAAAAGTTGTAGGATTTAAATAGGTCTATTCAATAGTCTCATCAGTTTGACCCTGGCTGGCGTCGTTAAGGTGAAGTCAAAGTCATCTTGAATTTTTTAAATAAAACACCCTATTTTTTATTGCATATTCTTATAGTCCTTCTTAATACCTTTTCAAAGCACTATAATTTTATTCATTTTGGGTCAGCCGCTTCAAAGTTATTAAGTATTTTACAGTAAGAAGTAATAGACATCCGAAGACAAGGTCGGAATATGATCCAGCCAACTAAGGCAAGATCGGAGGATGATCTAAGCTCTTAGATCATCCTCCGATCTTTCCTTAGTTGGCTGGATCATATTCACTCAGCTGTTTTCACGACTACTCACTCTCAGTTGTTTTCACGGCTACTCACTCTCAGCTGTTTTCACGGCTACTCACTCTCAGCTGTTTTCACGGCTACTCACTCTCAGTTGTTTTCACGGCTATTCATTATTAGTTGCTTTTAAAATGCTGCACCTTACTGAACGTGAACGAATATCTCTTTTGATGATGAGAGGATGGGGAGACAGACTAAGGTCATACAATGATGTTAAGCAGCTCTTCAATGCAACATTTCGGAATGAAAATACAAGTATCTCGAAATTTACGGTTCACAAAACTATCAGACGTTTCGAAGAAATTGGTGGTGTTAAAAATCGTCCAAAAGCAGCCTTAGTTGGCTGGATCATCCTCCGATCTTGCCTTAGTTGTCTGGATCATATTCCAACCTTGTCTTTGAGTGTCTATTACTTCTTACTATAAAATACTCAATAACTTTGAAACGGCTGACCCAAAATGAATAAAATTATAGTGCTTTGAAAAGGTATTAAGAAGGACTATAAGAATATGCAATAAAAAATAGGGTGTTCCATTTAAAAAATTCAAGGTGACTTTGACTTCACCTTAACGACGCCAGCCAGGGTCAAACTGATGAGACTATTGAATAGAGACTTTTTTAAATCCTACAACTTTTATTTGAAACATTTTTCTGTAAAACTTATATTTTTTGAGATTTTTCAGGGTTTCCATACTTTTTCCTCACTCTGTATATCAACGCTAGTGATAGCATTAAAGGTCGATTTCTCAGTAGTTGTTTAAATTTACTAACTGTTGTTATGTAGTAGTGTAAACTTAGACTTAAGTTTCAATTCTGTTCTAACAATGTGTTTGATATATTAAAAAAAAAACTTTTAAATCTAAATTTACATAAAAAGAATTTTTAGTCAAAATTACTATAGAATTTTGTAACCAAAGAATAGATCGATATTGTATAATAATATATTTATAATAATATAATAATAATTTATTTATTATTCTTTTATTTCACACATGCTATTTATATTTTGGGAATTAAAATATATTCTATCAAAATACTATATTTCTAGCGAAATTTAATGTTTCTAGAATATAGCAAGATAGACTGACAGTATATATATTCTTGCACTAATAAAAACATACTAATATTGAAAAGAATTTTTATAAAAAGAACAAGCTATAATATTCTCTCCGTATAAATTACTATAGAAAAGTCTAAAGAGTAACTTTCACCAAAGCTCCGATTAAAGTAATCGATGATTAATCGGCAGATATGCTAACAGCTAGCTATGTAATGTTTCGTTTAACATTAATTTAAAAAAAATAATACTATGTATGCTAGCAAAATATAACAAATAAAACTTGACTCTGATAGGAGTGTTAAATATTACTTATAAAGAGAGAACGAAAGAATTTTCTTATACGTTTTAACACCTAACTGCATTTTATTTTTTATGTTATAACTTATGTTATAACTTATATTATATTTTTTATGTTTTAACTTTATCGACTGAGCTAATCGGCAATTAGTTTAATCGGAATATAAAGCAAATCACTTCAAATCTGTCTGTATAAGTTTTTTGTTTTTATACATTAACATCTTGTTATCAAAAAGTAATAATCATGAAGAAAGAAATGCGTTTAGTCAGAAATGCATCACACACGCACTACGTGTAGAAATTAGACGGGAAGTAAGCAATCTACACGCGGTTGCATTTGCTAAAAATAGTATTCCACACAACGTAGTGCGCATGCATCATGTTTTATTACGTTATATCGCTAGCTGCGGTAGAAAATAATAATTCTTCAATATATATGCTTCTACAACATATATATGCAGAGAAGAATGATAATTCTACACAACATAGCATAGTACATATATCAGCGTATATTCTATTTATTATATTTCTAGGCCAGAACAAGCAGTACGAGCCATTTGTGTAACAGATGGCGAGCGAATTTTAGGTCTTGGTGACCTTGGTGCTTGCGGCATGGGTATCCCTGTCGGGAAACTAGCACTTTATACAGCTCTAGCTGGCATTAAACCACACCAATGTCTCCCGATCACTATTGACGTAGGTACTAATAACGAACAGTTAAGAAACGATCCTCACTACATCGGTCTTAACAAGCCCAGAACTCAAGGTGTTGAATACGATGAATTGATCGACGAATTTATGGCAGCCTGCGTAAAAAAGTACGGACAAAACGTTCTTATTCAAGTAAGCTAACATATAGTTATTATATACACACTTTCAGATACGTAAAGCGCCTTATGCCCACAAGTCTCAAGAAATTTTATCTCGCGGAACGATCTACAATAAATATACTCTGACAATATACTTTTGATATGTTTCAGTTCGAAGATTTCGGGAATCACAATGCTTTTCGTTTCTTAGACAAGTATCGAAATAAGTACTGCACATTCAACGATGACATTCAAGGTACGGCCGCGGTTGCAGTGGCTGGCATTCTAGCATCAAAGAGGATAACCAAAAAGAGAATGTCGGATAATAAGTTTGTCTTCCTGGGTGCCGGAGAGGTGTGTGAACTTAACTCAAATTTATACACAGAAAAGAAATGCTATTGAATCAATAGAGTTAGTCTACAGCCATAGAATAATTCTTTTTAATTAAATAGTAATATTATTGAAACTAATACTCTAGTTATTCAAACAAAATTCAGAAGAATATTTGATAATAATGCATATTAAGGGACACTTTGCCGATGACCTTGACCTTCATATATCTGATAGAGGTCATTCTCCTGAGTAACGTTCTGAATATTTAAAGTAACGGTCTTTGTTTATTAAAAAATTATGAACAAAAGAAGTTAACTATTTGGACTGTAATTTTCCGATTGTATGCATGTATATATCATATATAGACATCTTATTAAATGCACAAAGTACACGTATATGCACGGGGGAGGGACTTTGCCCTAAACAACCTAACCCATTTGAAATATGATAAAACGTACACGTATATGCGCAACCTATCCTTTACATTTGTATACGCTAAAATATCGCAAACAGTATCTCCATTTGTATTCTTATATTGACACATTATGTATAAAAATATAAAGAATAAGTTGCGTATATAGTGTACATTTTATCATATTTCAATAAATGAATTAGGTTAGGGTTAAATGTTTTGAGGAGAGCGGAGCTCTCCCTCGCGCATATACGTGTACTGTTTACCATATTTCCATATACACTGTGTACAAAAATTACGTTCCATTTATACCGCATTTTTGAAACTTCTTTTATTCATAACTTCTTAATGAAAAGAGACCATCACCTAAAACTTTTTAAATGTTATTCAGGGACATGTCTTTGACAACATATGTGAAGATCAAGATTATCGACGAGGTGTCCTTTAATATGCATAATTACCGAATATTTTATAATCACGAATATCACTTTATGGACATATCTTTTTATTTCAATGTACTTTGCAAAAATTTTAAACATGCATCTTCTCGCATCAATCTAAAGTTCCACGACAAGCGACTAAAAGCTTTAATATAACTTAAGTAATAGTTTCAGTATAATATCGCTATTTAATTAAAAAAATTTATTTTAACTACAACGCTATTGACCGCTTCTATTCATTCAACAGCATTTTTTTGTATATACGAGATATCATAAAACTGTCTCTTACGAATGCTGAACATTTATGTTTGTATTATTTGTTTCAAGACCACAACGTAACAATGTTCTATTTGCTTGTAGGCAGCTATTGGAATAGCGGATCTTTGCGTTAAAGCGATGGAGGCTGATGGTTGCACCGAGCAGCAGGCTCGTGATAATATTTGGATGATGGATATCGACGGATTACTCGTCAAGAATCGGCCTGAAGGTAATCTGGAGGGCCACAAGATTTGGTACGCGAAAGAACACAAAGTAATGAAGACGCTAATCGAGGTCGTGAGGGAGATCAAACCTACGGTTTTGATAGGTGAACACTCTTTCTTTCTTTGTTCGAGAAGAGAGAACTACGGTATGAAGACCAATTGTTTTTGCAGGCGCTTCGGCAGCTGCAGGTGCATTCACTCCTGAAGTCTTAAAAGAAATGGCGAAAAATAACGAAAGGCCATTGATTTTTGCTTTGAGTAATCCAACCAGTAAAGCTGAATGTACAGCACAGCAGGCATACGATCATACAGATGTATGAATATGTTATTCACATAATAATTATAATATAATTGATAATAATCGCGAATTAGAATAAGCGTTGCGCTAATATTATACTTGCTCCCAACGAATTAGAAGTAGTTAATTAGACCAAATATATTTGCTTTCAGGGAAGATGCGTGTTCTCTTCTGGTTCACCATTCGGTGAAGTAAATTATAATGGAAAGACATATAAACCGGGACAAGGTAATAACGCGTATATCTTCCCTGGTATAGCCTTGGGCGTTATTGCGACTGGATGTCACCACATCACGGAAGATTTGTTCTTAATCTCGGCACAAGCTGTGGCTGATCACGTGAAGGATGAGGACCTCCAAAGGGGAAGTTTGTACCCACCGTTGAATAACATTCGCGAATGCTCAATTGACATTGCAGTTAGGATAGCGGACTACGCTTATGCTAAAGGTAATCGTCGTAGTTATGGAATTTTAAATATTACTTTTACATAATTTATTCAGAGTTAAGAAATAACGTGTTACTTGTAACACCATTACCGTTAAAAATTAGATTTTTAAACGACTTAATAACGACATCATTTTTTTGTAATAGTAACGGTAATGCAATTACTTCTTTATGATAACTGTAACAGCAAAATAATAATCATTACTTTTATTGTTATTTTGCATACTATTCTCAGAGATTCTTGCAGTTAAATCTCATTTAAGACATATTAAGACAAGTAAAAATTCGTTTAGGAACGATAATAAAAATACTGCTACTTAAACTTGTAACAATAGATGTTTATTCTTATATCTTAGCAAGAGTTTAGTGTGCAATTCAAGCTTAGAATGAATGCCTAACTCTATATATGGAGAAAATATTGTAATATAAATTATGATAAAAATAGTAAATTTTATGATCTTCCCTGATATATGATACAAAAACATTCAAGTAATTACAGTAATTTTAAAATAAAAAGCTAAATGTACATAACATTTTTAAACA